AAAATCATTCTATTGAAGCATATTATTGCACTTCTCTCTCTAGCTCTCACTTCTCTCTAGAGATATACTCTATCAGAAGGATTTCCTTTTTCCTGTTGATTTGGAGGACAAAGAGGATTATGGAAGGATCAAGAAGTGTATTGATTATGCACTTTCGGAGCACAGTGAGATGCAAGGAGGGAAATCTCATCATCAGCAGCTAAAACTTATCAGGATAGTAAAAGATGTTCAGAACACAGCGGAGCACAGTACCTACCACGTAGCGTTTGAGGCTATGGATACCATATCACGTCAGATTAGTACTTACTTTGATGAGGTTACTTATGCTTCTCAGTCAGAAAGCAATTTATTGGGGGTACTGGACATGTGGCCAAAAGGTCTAAGGAATCATGAATATGATACATTTGAGGAACATGAATGGAGCTACTTGGAAGATGGTATTTATGGACGCCTATGAAGAGCACTTCGAATTTGTAGTTGTGATGGGAGCAAATATTTATCCGTGTATGGACAGCTCTACTTTGGACTGCAATTATGTGGTATAATAGTTTTCAACTTTTCATAATAAAAGGGTTTCTATTTTAAGACGAGATTCTATAAGAATCTTCCCCTTCATGATTTTGCAGTGCTTATATCGTGGAACCGGTGCATGGTGAGCACCATGTATCCTTTGTTATTTTTTATTTATCATTTTCTTAAATTGTTAATAATATTTTTTATTTTTGATCTGATTTTTATAAAATTTATATCAATTTTTTTTTATTTTTCATGATCTTTCAAATGAGACCAATATTGCCTATGTAATTTTAATTTTTTACATTCATACATTTTTTTGTAATATATTCTTATATGCATACACTTTTTCTATAATATATTTTTTTATCACTTTTATATGTTTTTAGAGGTTTTTAAGATATTGAGTTTGTTTATTTTGCTTCTAGTTTGGAGTTACATTTGATAATATACGAAGTTACATCATCTTATACTCCAGTTACAAGTTATTATGTGTGAGTTACATCTTGTTATGTGTGAGTTACATCTTGTTATACACGAGTTACATACTTTTATGCGCGAGTTTCATGTAATTATGTGTGAGTTACATCTTGTTATGTGTGAGTACATCTTGTTATACACGAGTTACATACTTTTATGCGCGAGTTACATATAATTATGTGTGAGTTATATCTAATTATTTGTGATTTTTTACTTATCTTTATCTTGAACTAATTCAATTATAACTGAATTAATTTTTTTCTTTGCCAATTTAATACAAAATTTTATTAATCCACATAAAATAAGTATAATGTATTTCATATTCATACACTATTTTTCAAATGATAAAAATGAAAGATGTAGCATGGGTTTATTTCGTGGTGTAACTCACATACATTAAGATGTATTTCGCGTAACTCGCGTATAATAAGATGTAACTCGCACAGAAGAAGATGTAACTTCATGATATATTATCAAATGTAACTTCAAAAGAATTTGTTAAAATTACATAAGCAATATTGGTCTCATTTGATAGATCATGAAAAATAAAAAAAATGATATAAAATTTATAAAAATCGGATATCAAATAAAAAAGTTATTACAATTTTTAACAATAAAAGAAATAAAAAATAATGGAATCAACCAGTGAAGCTGCGTCGTTTTGCAACCGGGCGCACCATTCTCATTAGGGATGGATTCGGGCCGGGTCGGGCCCGGGCCGGGCCTAGGCCCGGTCGGGCCGCCGGTTCAAGAAAAGTGGGCCCGGGACCGGCCCGCGGGTTGGACGGGTCCGGTTCGGGCCGGGCCACCCGCCCGGGTCACGGGTCGGGTCCGGTTCGGGCCGGGCCGGTTAATTTTTTTTTATAATTTATATTTTATAGTTTATAGTTTTATACGAGTATTAAAAACAAACTTCAATTGCATTTATTTGAAATGAAATAGGAACTACATTTGAAAATTAAAACAAACTTTAAGAGAAACATTTTGAAAATTGTATTCAATCGGAACTTCCCGCACCTCCCGATCCTTTGGCTTTGTCACATGACTTCATATGCTTGATTGTCATCCTGAATCCGCCTGAAGCCCCCATGATACATTTTTTTCACACCATTTGCAAATTGCGTACCACATCCCGGTCTTCGGGTCCTTCTGCTTATCAAAATTATACCGTATAATGGCATTTTGATTTTCCATCTTAACTTCTTGGAGAAGAGAATTAGAGAGTAGATATATAATATATTGGAGAATAAGAGAATTAGAGAGTAGAGAGTTAAGAATAGGATTTAGGAAGAATTGGAGAAGAGATATGAAAAAATGTTTAAGAGTTCGAGTATTTATAGGTTTTTTTACCCCCCCACCCCCCACCCCCCCTACCAGCCAACCCCCCGGACCCCCCCTTTACCCCACCCAACGGCTATATAGCCGTTTGGGTTGTCCCCAGCCCCACCCCCAAGGCCTCAACGGCTAGTAGCCAAAAAACAAAAAAAAAAGTTTTTTTTTTTAAATAGACCCGGGCCCGACCCGGCCGGGCCGGGTCACAAAAATCCAGAACCGAGCCCGCCCCCGCCCTTCCCATCGGTTCGGGTCCATACCCGGTCCCGGACCACCCGACCGGGCCGGTCCCGGGCCCGCACAGTACCGGGCCGGGCCGGGTCACGGGTCGGGTGGCCCGAACCGAATCCATCCCTAATTCTCATAGTGCGCCGGTTGCAGGGTATAAATTGCGATGATTTTGGGATTTTTGGTGCTAACTCTCAAATTGAGGAATATGCTTTGAAGAGCACACCATCAATCCCTCTTTACTCTTTCATAAAGATTTGTCCAAAATTGGTTATCTTTCTAGTAATGAATCTGAGAGCATTAATGGGGGTTTATACAAGCCGATTGATAATTGGAAAATGCTTGTGTACATGAGTTGTACACAAACTGTACATAAAACCCCCTAGTTGTTTGTGTACACAAGCAATTCATTTAGAAAAAGACAGAATTTAATACTCAATTGCCTGTGTACACTAGGAGTGGACTCGGCCCGGGCCAACCGGCCCAGAACCGAACCGGCCCGGTGAACCGGTTGGTGCCCGGTTCGGGCCACCTGGCCTGGTGAGGTAGGCGGGCCGGGCCCAGGCCTCCTAAATAGTGAATCGACCTGGCCGGTTCAGGCCCGGTCCGGGCCAAATTATTTTTTTTCTTTTTTTTTTTTCTTTTTTTTAAGTTTTTGGGTTGGGCTGGGTATGATGGGCCATTTGAGGTGGTTTGGGGTGGTTTGGGGTGAGGGGGGAGGGTTGGGGTTAATCAGGAAAAGCCAAAAAAAAAATATAAGAACCGAGACCCGGCCCGGCCCGAACCCGGGGTTACCCGGGCCGATTCCGGGCCTCCTCTTTCATGAACCAAGGCCCGGCTGGGCTCAGGCCCGAACCGGTCCACCCCTAGTGTACACAGGCAATGTACACATTTTGTGTACATCTTGTGTACACCAAGCAGGCAAGCATGACCCATGATAATTTTCATGATATATTTTCCTGTTATATTTTTTTAGCTTTTTGGCCGAACGAAGCTTAAAGAAAACCGGGCAGGAATCGGAACCGCCCGATTTGGTCCCAAAATCCGGAACCAGGAGGTCCAGGACCATAAACCGCTCTAGAGCAAACTCGTATGGGCCCAAGCCTAGAACCATTTAAAACAGACCTGGTCTGGGCCGAAATAGTATCGGACCCAGTTCAAAGCTGGGCCAGACTTCCGAAGCGAGTCCACCCCTACTCCCGCCTACAATGCTTTCTACCACAAAATCCACCCACCCCGTCCGTCCCTTACCCTTGTTTTTTTGGACCATTTTTTAGGTGATGCAACCTAAATGGCTTTTTTTGGGTCATTTTTTAATTGAGGCGACCTAAATGCCACCTTTTTTTGTTTTTTTGGGGTCATTTATTTGAGGCGACATCAACTCCCAAAAACTTGATTCAAGGGTTTAGATTTTTAGAAACATTTGTATCTTGTCATGAGAAAAATTCACGGTAGTATGTCACGGGTTAATTACGAGTTTTCTAAAACAGACGTGTTCAGTTAATTACGAGAACTTTAAAGCTTGCTTTGAAGATGGGCTACAAGAGTACAAGAGCATTATGCTGGGAGTGATTCAAGCAAGAAAAATGCTTTGTGTAATGCAGCTAATTTTTTCATGGTACACCATAGCTCGTGAATCGCATCTTTATGAAGATGAATAGCAAATCCAAGTCCCGTTCTGCCATATCCACATAGAAGGGAATTACCATGCCGCCTTTCTTGCCGAACGAGGCATAAACTATACTGCCTTAATTTTTTTTAGGGGTGTGCACAGTCCGGAACGATCCGATAAATTGGTAAAACTCGCAAATCCGCAATGTATCCGTGAGATTTTTAACGGTCCAGTACGGTCCTGTTCCAACGATAGAACCATTCAGTACCATGTCATTTCGGAACGGTACAAAATGGTACGGTACAATGCCAAGCCCATGCTAAAAAAATTTGAACAAATCTTGATATCATCACACCAACCAATTGCATACGTAGTACTCAAATTCACAAATACACAAATAGTGCAACACACCTAAGAAAAGGTATAGCAAAACGATGACACACGGCCACACGGGATAAATATCATCTTTAATTTACTAAGTTTATGTGAAAATATAAAAACGAATATTATCAAATTGTTGAATATAATAGAAATCTTCAATGTTCTTCTTCGTTCTAGGTTAAATATTACTCCGTAGTTCTCACTTAATTTATAGTTAAACCTTGAAAGCTAATATTTAAACCATATTCATTAAGTTGTAAAAATTGCACAAACATTATACAACAAAAAGTCATGTACATTACATTACTAGAAATGAATAGTCATTAATGATTTCTAAAATTTTAATATTCTTTCAATACATACCAAAATATAACATAAATTATCTAAAAAGAAAAAATAACAATATATATATATATATATATATATATATATATATATATATATATATATATAAACACATTTAGATATCTTAGGGACACATGAATATATACATACTTGGGCTATAAAATTGTTGGTCTATAAAAGAGATCTATTGGTATAGATAAAATATAAAAAATTCAAAATACATTATTTTCGAACGGTTCGGTCCGGTATTTTTCGGTTCTCAAAATATAGGACCGATCCCATACCCGTTTCAAACGGTACGGTTTAGGTATGGGATAAAAATCTATAGAACCATTTATATACCCGGTATTCGGTTCGGTACCATTACGGGACGGTTCGGTACCGGTTCGGTTCGGATTTTATGCCCACCCCTAATTTTTTTACTTGGTTAAAGGAATAAATGGTTTCTTTGTAAGAAAGAAAAAATAGTTTCAATAAACTAACTGGACAGCACAGTACTTGTGTGTTGACATTGCTGGGACAAGCAACAATTCAAAGCAAATAAATACAATATCAGGCCATAGATATGGTGTACTCATACATAAAGGCAGTGCGAATGTACATTGACCATCCCTTGATTCATATGACATACCTATCCACTTTGACCTTCAGTAATACAACCAGTGTGTCAAAGGATCTGCAGATATAAAAAAACAAATTAGCAATGGTTGATACATTAGTTTGTCATTTGGCAGATCAATGTTTACCGAAAACTAGTGAATAACTGTGTCATTTGGAGTAAGAATTGTTGGTCCGTTATCTTTAAAAGCCAAATTTGCCTGTACTATTGTCTACCCAAATATATATTTTGTCTAAATACATTTCCAACTAAAATGAAGCGCATGTCCAAAACAGAATGGAGATGGCAACGAGAAGGGGCTCTCATTTTGAAGGTTGCAACTTTCTGGAAGGAAGCTTTAAATAAAACACACCGGTTCTGTTTTTTTTATTTCATGCAGACAGTCACAGAGGAAGGAAAGTTTTCACGGGTTCTGTTTTTTTTATTTCATGCAGACAGTCAGAGGAAGGAAAGTTTTCATAGACCAAATACATATGAGCCAGGTGTGAGCCGGACCCGAACCGCGTCCGAGACTCCTAGCCACACCTCAACTGTGTTCAAGTCAAATCCGAGCCATCTCAGCCATGTCCAAGTCGTGTCTGAACTGCATTGAAGCGGTAACCAAATTGCATTCAAGCCATCGAGCCATATCTAAGAGTCCAAGATGCTGATCCCTCGGAATATCTGAGTGAATCATAGTCGCGTTGGAACCATATCTAAACCACATTCAAGCGAAACTTGAATCATGTCAAAGCATCTGAGCCACATTGGAGTCGCGTCGGAGATGTACATTGGATTTTGTTCGAATTAAAAGTAAATACTTTTAGGTTAAATAACTAATCTTTGTCCATTGGTTAGAAGAAATTAAAGATTAAAATAATCTAGGATTGTCTTTATTGTAAAGTTGTTGGGTTCAAAAGAAGGAATGGTATGAGAGGAGATGTAGAAAATGGGTGGGAAGGAAAATAGATGAATTAAGAAAATGAAATGCTTAGTTATATGGTGAACTAGTGAGACAATCATACAATAACAACATCCAAGCCTTAGTCCAAAAAGTGTTTGGGGTCAACCAACATGAATCGACATATGAAATCGGATCTAAAAAAGGACAAAGAAGATAAAAGGATGAGAAAAGATAAAATAAAGATAAGATAAAGATAAAAAGATAAGATAAAAAATAAGGAAGATATAAAAACAAAAGTTTAATAAAATAAGATTATATCATCATCATCATTGGGGTAAGGGGGGGTCGGATGTACGCGACTATTGAAATAAAATTATATAAGTAAGAAAATTATAGTCCATACTTTTATAAAAGAATATATAACATCACTCTTTATTTGGTAGAATCTTTGTGGCAATCTATAATATTATATACTCCGTATATGTATATCAAGAGTAATTTTCATTAGCTTTTTCCTATTTTTCTAGCATTTTCAGAGATCTAAACATACTCTGAGGATCCATTTGGAACTGACATTACCACCCAGTCATCCATCCATAATCCATTACTGGGCCAGGCAAACGAGGTTCAGTTCAGATATTAATATTTACCAAGGGTAAAAAGGAAATTAAGAAAAATAATCAATCCTCAAAAGTAACCAAAGTGGGGAGTGGAATATTAGGACACCAGATGAGTCATAGCTCCTCCAAATTATTCCCCTCCATAATCTTGAATCAAACAAGGGCTAAATTTGTGCCAAAGGATAGAACTTACAGTCAAGAAAGAAGTGTTTCCCCTTAAAACGCTTCTGTTGCAGCAATATCTCTTGCTCCCTGCAAGAATATGAGGGGTTTTGGTTTTAAGGCAATCAAATATGATCAAAGCTCTATTAATTGTAACATGTAAGACTGAAATATGTCAACTTTGCTAGCAAAATATTGGGTTCAGTTACCATTGCTCTCTCGATGATATTCTTAACCAACTGCATAGAGACAAATTCAATAGTCAAAACTCATTTTCATTCCATCAGATCATGCCTTATGATTGATTGAAAGCATCAAGAGTCCATTTAGATCCAGGAAATCATTAGGGAAAGAATATACAGAATGAAATTGGAGGGATATAAATTTTGGGGAAAATAAAAGATACGCTCAAACTATATAGTTGTATTATAGATATTAGTTCAACTGTTTTTTTACTATATAAATGCTAAGAAATCTAAATAATTCTGCTAATGTAAAATTATAAAAAAATTATATATTTTTTATTCCCTGAACGGGAGAGCCTTAGAGCTCTGTATATTTATCCCAAACATGAGAAAATAATTTCCTTACCATTTGATTTCCTTTCTCTAGCATCTTCCAGGATCAAAACATATCTTTATACCAAATCCTTTCTCTAGCATCTTCCAATATCATGGTGGGGGTGCTAAAGATTTTTTTAGACTCATTTTTAGCAATTTAAACAATCTTTTTTCACAACATGAGTATGTATGGGATCATATTCTAAGATGCAAAAAGAATTCCCACTGCATAATTTCAGTCTACAGTTCAACAAGTGTTTCATGGAAAATCCGCTGTGTATTCATAGAGGAACCTAAAGATCAGTTGGGGTTAATCTGCAGTGTGATAACAACACAGAAAATACTGTCTTACAGTGAACAATTTCTTTTGTTTTCCCAAATAGCTGGGTTCCATTTCAAGGCCAACTAGTGAACTGAAATGCTTTGAAGAGAATTTCTATTCCTGAAGGGATCTGAGACATGAAAAGGAGGACATTCAACGCATTTAAAGCAATGTGAAGATTTCTTGCACTTTCGCTTCCCTTCTGCATTGCAGGTACAAGAGAAGCAGATGCCGCCCACAAGACAGTAATTGCTGCCCCTGCAAACAAGTGAGGCCCTGGGAACAGCTTCCCCGTCCTAACCCAAGTGTTAAATCCTCCTGAAATGGCCTCAAAGACCCCAAATCCTAACAATACAGAGCCAGCATCAAAATGTCTATCCCTGAATGAACCCTTCACCAATGCCTTTCTCTCCTCAGTAAGTTGCTGAATCTTGATTTCAACAGGAGATGGCTGAAAGAGATTAGTAGGAGTGGCGTCGTCAATAACTGGCACCCTGGCTTGCTTCTTCAGCTGACTGATCTCATCCTGTAGTGTGCGCACGCGCCGCCACTGCCAACCAAGGAATCCGGCGTACAAGGTGTAAACAAACAGCCCACTCATAACAATAGGGTGAATCATGGCAAAGCTACGCCCTTCAAGAATCCCGAATTCCCCACCAACCGCAATAGCATCCTGAGCATCGAAAAGGAAAGTCAGTGAAATGCAACTAAGCGGGAGAGAGGCGAATTTGAGCGGCGAGTCAATGGTTTGTTTAAGAGGGTTTTGGGAGATCTGGGGAAGATTTGGTCTGATGGGTATTGAGGAAACCGACTTTGGGATGATGGGTTGTTTCTGCTTTGATGAGGAAAGGACTGGGAGTTGGAGGAGGCTGAACGTGGTTGCCATGCCTGACTGTCTTCTTCTTCTTCAGTCTGCAAGCTTACTAGAGGGAGACTCGTTTTAGCAATTTAAACTACGGAGTATTAGACAAAGATTAAGAAAGGTAGAGATATGTATCAGAACATAAAAGAGATACGCAAACGACTTTCCTTGCATTTCCACTTCCCATATCATTTTTCAGGATCCAGAAATACTCGTTATCCTCAGAGCAAGGGCGGGCACCGACCTTCTTTCTAGGTGCTCTGATGAGCTGGGAATTGTTTCACCATACATTGTGCAATGTCATCAACCGGTGCATGACCTTATCACGAGTAGGGTTGTAAAGGAACGGAATTGAGTCTAATAATAATGAGATTTTTTATTTGTATTTGTCTAATTTTTTTCAAATATGAATTCGAATTCAAATATGAAACGAATATTAATTTCGATTTGTATTTGTATTTGTTTAACAATACGAATAGTTAACGAATCATATACGAATATCGAATAGATTTGAGCATAGGTTAAATATTAGTCAAATATCACTCCAAAATAACTTTTCTTATGCTCCATAATTTTTATGTTGTAAATGAATGCTATGACTTAATATGTGTTTTTAGAATTTAAATTTAATGGATCAATGCATTTTTAGATTGTGCACAATATACTAAAGTGAATTAATTTTATGATTAATAAATATGAATCTATTTCAAACTTTATGAAATAAATACTAACACACACATATTAGAAATTATACTTATAGTGTGTGAAATAAGTTGATAATTATATATATCTGATGGATTATTTTCTAGAGAGAAGTGAGAGCTAGAGAGAGAAGTGCAAGTAAATGCTTCAATAAATGATTTTACAACCCCTACAACTACCTCCAGAGGAAGTATTTATAGGAAAAATACGGGCTGGGCTCCCAAACCTTGGGCTTGGGAGACCCATATACAACTGGGCCGCTATTGGGCCGAATACAAAGTAAATGATGGAGTATACAAATGACTAAGTGTAAAATCCGGTTCTGGGAGTTCTTTGTGGCCGACGAGGGTCTGGCCGATGAGTGCATGGCCGACGAAGACCCGGCCAACGAGGTCACCCGGTTCTTCTGGCTTCCGGATCACGTTCTGGGTTGTCTTCGTTCCGGCCGATGACGGTCACCTGGCCGATGAGGGTCCCACTGGGTGACAGTTGTGCCTTCTGTTCTCCTGAGTATGTGGGTCCTGGGGCCTAGACCCATATACTCCATCAGGAGTCCCCCACTCTCTAAGTTGAGATGTAGACGAAGTGAAGGAGAGTATATTCTTGTTCTTTTTATGCTTGGCCGTTGCGTGTCCCCTATCGTGGACGGGAGAGATCCTAGCCATGCGGATGGTACGTGTTCCTTGCTCTCTAGGACGATGAATACCCTTGCTTGATGGGGGTGGTGAAGGTCCGAAGTTGTGAATGGCCGATACGTGTCTTTGGCATGAGTGGCCGTTGAGGGCACTGTTCACTCCTTCTGGCCGTTGTTGATTGAATGTTGTACTTTTGGCCGAGGAGGCCATTGTGGCTATCTCTTGTTGGAGGGCGATGAGCATCCTTTGTCTTGAGTGGCTGTTGAGGGTGCTGTTCATTCCTTCTGGCCGTCGTTGATCACTTACTGTGCCCTTAGCCGAGGCGGTGTGTGGTGGTTAGTTGCCCGAGGTCTTGGGGACGATGCGCGTGTTGCGCTTTTGCCCTGGCCGGAGATGGCACTTACAGGGACCTTGAAACCGTTGTGATGCATAACCGATATGATCACGTTTGTAGTTGTGTACTTGTGTATTTTTGACTCTTTCCATTTTGTGTTTTGAGGCCGGTGTAGTCCCCCAGTCCCCCACTGCTTCAGGTCGAAGAGTGAGTGAGGGGTGAAGGAGTAGTGTGAGACCCAGGCCGAAGCGGGTTCCCCATACTGCCCTTGAATCCAACCCTTTGGCGATTTCCTGACCAAGGTAACCCTGTGGGAGAACCCTTGGACGCAGGTCACTTTCAAAGGGTTATCATCAAGGGTTTTGTGCGAGGGCCGATGGCCGTTGGGTTCCCTTCCCTTGTGGTGTTGTGGCCGTTGTAAGGCCTTTCTTTACATGATATGTATGGCCGCTTGAATGGCCGATACGGGTGCTACCTGGGTAGCCGTAGCCTGTGTTAGCCGCTGTGGGTGCTATTTTCCCATTCCTTGCTCCGTAGAGCCTGCTTTGCTGGTGGGCTGTTGATCTGTGGACTGGGCCGGGCCCATTTACGAAGTGATGGCATCCCATTGGTGGCCGTTGGTGTGGCCACTAGGGAGGTGCCACGTGTAGTGACCGTTAGGGGGGCTATAAATACCCCTCCCCTTCCGAAGAAAATCCTCATTTGCGATCTGAGCTACCGAAGTGCTGCCCAAATTTCTAGAGATATAAAGTCCTTGCAAGTGTTCTTCGTGTTCTTCAAAGCTTCAAGGTCAGTTCTTCAAACTTTTCCTCGATTCCTCGCATACTTTGCTTCCTTTAGGCTTTGATTCAGTGTTAGCCACAAAAACACCTTAGATCTAAAGTAGATCCCCTTAGTGTCTTAGAAGTTGTTAAGATGAAAACCCTGAACGAGGAGTATTATCCCTACGACGACGAGCCCTCCACCAAATCCCTTGACTTCCAAGTTGTCGAAGAGTTTTGCGAGGAGATTGAACACTTGAGCCCCTTCAAATCCGGGGAGCAGGTGGATGAAGATGGCGAGGATGAGGATTCCGTCTCGTCGGCTGGGGATGAGGACGCAGGGGTCTCCCGAGCTGCGGACGGGGGGCGTCTACTTCGGCTACTATTCCATGCCCGGAGCCAGTATCCGTTGTTAAGGGGGCAGCGCCGCCGAAGAGAGTCAAGCGGCCGAAGAAAGGACCAGGCTTCTCCTACCTGGATCTCACCAACGTCCACATCATTAGGCCGCAGAGCAACGCGGGTGAGTACTTGGTCACCCAAATGTACGTGGGGCCATTCGGTAGGGTAAGGGCTCCCAAGGCGACGGACCATGTTCTTAATCCACCGCCAGGATATTTTGGAGTGTACCCGATGAGCTTCGCCAAAGGGTTGTGGTTCCCGCTTCATCCCTTCGTTACTGAGTATTTAGACATGGTGGGACTTCCTCCAGCCCTACTGACCCCTAACAGCTACTCGCTGATAGTCGGGTTTCTTCTTCGTAGCGCCGAGCTGAACTACAAGCCGACGACGGCCCTCTTCATGAATCTGTATCAGATAGGCCGAGGGAGTCACAAGAATTGCGCCAGCTATGGCACTCTCCAACAGTTTCCAAAGAAGAGGAGCTTCGTCGATCTTCCTTCGTCCATCCACGGTTGGAAGAGCAAATTCGTCTTTGTGTCGCTGGGCGAAGGAGGCAGCGAGTTTCCTTCCGTCCGCCATGATGGGAGGTTCAATCTTCATGATACGCCGAAGAGTTCGATCTTGGACGCTCAGGTGGCAGCGTTCTTGGAAGGAGGGCCGAGGAGCGTGAAGGACTACATCACTGAGTACAAGATGACCGCCCTCGACTTCTTTAGGTGCTTTGTATAGGGCGATAATGAGGAGGACGTCGAATTGTGGCCGAAGATGACTTCTACGTTTGAGGTGCCTGATGGCCCAGACTTGGGTGTGCCCGCTGAAGCTGACGGTAATTCCCTTTCACCGTCCTCGACTTTGTTATGCTTCTTGTCTGATGTTGTTTCCTTTGTTGTGCAGGTTTTGTGATGGATCATCGTTCAGTGATGAACAGGGCTGCCTCAAAGGCGAAGGCGGAGTTGGCCGCCAAAGAGGCCACAAAACAGGCGGCGGCGACTGGGGCACAGCCAAGCACTGATGTGCCGAAGAAGCCACCCACCCAGCCGAAGAAGAAACGGCCGGTGGATGACGGTCAGAAGAAGTTGACCGATGCCGGAATGCAGCCTTCCAAGAAGTTGAAGAAGGGTGCCACTGATTCCGTGGCTGGAGTTTTGGTCGTTCCGGCTGGGGACGAAGGAGGTTCTAGTGCTGCTGCTGTAGTGAACCTCACCTCTGGGCCGTCGTTTGACGTTGATCAGCCCCTCTCCCTCGTCCAAGAAACCCGGCCGAAGCGGGCTGGCAAAGACGTGGCCACCGCCACGTACACAAAGGTAGTGGAATATCCTGTGCATGGCGGCGTCTTCAATGAAGTTGTCGACGGCCACATTGTGATTTCTCAGGCCATCCCGGCCAAGGATCGGGTTTACCTTGACAAGCTTGGTGACGTCAAGATCTACGACGGTGGGATGGACCTCGTCGTCCAAGTGAGTTTTCTCCCTTGTACTTTGTCGTTTTCTTTCACTGTTTTCATGAATGTGTTGTCTGACCGTTTTATTATGTAGAATGCCTTCCTGTTGATGGAGAACCAGCGAAGGCAGCAGCGGGAGATTGCCCGCCTGAGGGAGATTGAGCAGAAGGCTGCCTCGGCCGAAGAGGCCATGGCTTGCCTAGATCGGCTGAGGGCCGATGGGGCGGACCTGCAGAAGAAGGTCGATGAGGCCGACGCGGCCTACCGTGAAGTAGCTGCTGCCAGGGACGACGCCTTGGCCAAGTTTGCCGAAGAGAGGGCGGTGCTGGAAGCTGAGCGCCGTCGTGCTGATGAGGCCGAGAAGGCTAAAGCTGATGCCGAGGCTGCCGCGAAGAAGGTCGCTGATGCTGCCATCAAGAAGTTTCTTGAGGAAGGCTGGAAGGCCGATGAGAATCTGCCTTGGTGCTACGACGTGGCGGCGCCCAAGCTCGAGGACTGGGGTGAGAACTCCTCTGCCGGCCAGGAATACTTCGAGAAGGAGATGTCCATATACTACAATATGGGCCTGCGGCGGATGCAACAGCTCATCTACCAGAGGCTGCATCGCGCCTTCAAGAAGCTGAAGGTCACCCGAAAGTGGGCTAGGAAGAATTTGAAGCTCCCCAAGAATATGAAGGACCCGGAGGCCGAGGCTAAGCTCCCCCTTTCTGAAAGGCAGGCCGCTATAGATAGCTCTGGCATTGATGAGTCAGATTGGTCGGACAACGCTGCCCTGGCCGACACCGCCGTTTCCGCAGGTGCTGAAGCCAGCGTGGACACAGAGGCCGATGAGGGTGCTGATGTCGAGGTTCAGCAGGCCGGAGTGGGGCATGTTGCTGATGAGGCTGCTCAGGAGAGTTGACCGGCTCATCTGAAGTGTAATGGCCGAAGTGCCCCCATATATCTTTACGGATGAATGAATATATATCGTTTTCTTTGTCTTCAATGTTTACCTTATCGTCTTCGACCTGCACTGCCCCTTGCTTTTGTTATTTTAGTTTCTGAAATTCGTCTAAGTGTCAAGCCAAAACGTAGGTAGTCGCTTCCTTTGGCTGTGGCTGAGGCGGGT